CGTAATGACAAAGAACGTTTTTAAAGATTAGCTTATGTTCTTTTCTTTTTATTGTTATATATTATTCTGATGATTTAGGACTTTAAACAAAGGCAATATTCTGTTACAAGTGTGTTTGGTAAAATTCCCAAAAGTGAGCCTGACCATTAGGGGGCAGTGTTGCGTGAACTAAACCAGAATTTACAGGAAAGAGAAAATGAAAAAAGAGCAATCACAGAGCCAAAAACGCATGTTCCATAAGTTTCCCTGTTTCACTCTTTGGGTGTTTTATTAATGGTTAAACAAATTTGTCCTCTTTCTTCAACCTGCCAATGTTTCCTTTGCCTATTTTTTGCAGCAGTGCAGTGGTAGCTCAGTGGTAGCTCAGTGGTCAATATGTTAGACTTCTGATCGGAAGGTTGAGAGTTCAGATCCCAGCGTCACCAGGCTGCCACTGCTGGGCCCTTAAGCAAGGCCATTAACGCTCAAATGCTCAGTTGTATAAAAAAAAAAAAAAAAGATAATTGTAAGTTGCTCTGGACAAAGGCGTCTGCCAAATGCTGTAAATGCAGCAACAGTTGTTTGCGCAGTGTTTGTTGTTAGACATCAGTTTCTCTGTATTTTTAGCCATGCTACTGTGCAGCTAAACAAACAGATGAGCTAAGGAAACATAAGCTAAGGAACTGCCTACTGTTGTTTATTATACAGTGTGTCCCAAAAGTCTTCATACACTGAGTTTGCCAGCACCACGTCGGTTGTGTCTTCGTCAGTGGATGTTCGTGGACGTCTGTGTCTCGGTCGGGCCGTAACACTTCCAGTCTTTTTAATTAGTTAATAAGTTTGGCGACAGTGTGGTGTGTGATGTTCTCGCCATATTTCCTGTTAAAGTCCATCGCAAGCTTGATGGACTTCCTGATGAAGCTTCCCGATCATATCTCCCACCCACTACAACTTACACTCAGCTGCTGTGAGAGCCGCACTTGCGCTGTTCATTTATAGCTGTCTGAGAGAAGAAATTTTTATTAGACTCCAGCCTGAGACACGAACAGCGTGACTCCACGTGAACTGAGATGTTTAGAAAGTGTTTGTCACATTTTTAAAAGGCTACACTTTAAAGAAACAATGGTGATGCCTCCCAGGCTGGAGCACAGAAGGTACTGTGATAGGCTTTCTGGATTTGAGGTGTATTGATGTGACTATCACTCTGAAGTGTTTAATAAAACCTGCAGAAAAAATGTCACAACACATCTGGACACGTCTCTCCGCTAGGCTTGGGACGATTAACGATATTATTACAAATCAGTGATAGTCCCGCTATCGTGATGGCTATCCAGGTGGATGATCTAAATGTCTCTGGGAAATCGTGGTGTTTACAGCTTTAAAATAAACAAAAATAATTTGCGTTGTGTTTCATAAGTGTTTCCATTTTTGTCTTCTAAACGAAGTTTAATAACCTGCTGTCTGACTTCAGAGCTGAGCAACAAAACATCCTTCTCTGATGGATCTGATCTTCTCGAGTCCGTGCTGCTGAACAGATAAAGCCGTGAACGTCTTCACTCTCAAAACATTAATTAAGAAAATGAAACCGCGTGTTGTTTATCAGGGCGACTTCACTATACAACTACACAGCAATTCAATACGTATCTCTGCTGCTGTTCACCACACAGCACATGTTTATATTATTTTATTTATATTTTATTTTGAGATTCGTTACAGCTAATAACAGGTTACGTTTATTTACAGCCCTGACTTCAGTTTTGTAAACATTCCTGACCTCGGTAATGGATAATTAATTTAAAAAAATCTTAATCAACTAGTAGCTACAGCCAACTTGTAATCAGCTTCTGGTATTTTTTGTACACGCCATTACGTGTCTGGCCCCGCCCCCTTTTCTTCCTACCTTCCTGCAGTCTACACCCAAAGTGACAGGTGATATTCTCGTCAGTCTGCGATAATCAGGGGGCATATTGCGCACGATCTCACCATCCTAACTCTCCTCCTCAACCAGAGCACTACAGATACGCCACACCCTGCACGCCACACTTACCCATAAACCCCCTCTCTGTGTCACAACACAAATACGCTTTTCAACTTGCTTTAAACTTCTCAAGTATACTGCAATGTCAGATTTTGGGAACTCTTTCTTTATTATCGTACAGTGTTTACAGTGGAGTGAGTCATGGCTCCATCTTACTGAACACCATGATGATTCTTCTCGTTGAAGTTGTTTTGCTTGTCTCACTTTGTCTCCACACACAGCTAGTGCTGAGACACAAACGCTCCATTAAATAATCAGCTTCCCCAAAGGCGCAGGTCTCTGATGGGCCAGTGCCTCTCCTCGTCAGATTTAACCACCGGAGGAAAGAATTAGGACTTCCTCAAACACACGAATGGTTTTGCAAGCGTGTCGAGCCACATTAAGATGATTAGAGTGAGCGGAACATGGAGCAGGTTTTAAAGAGAGTTGTTGTGATCAATGAAAACTCCTGCAGTTTCAGCTTCAGCTCACAGACTGACTGTAAAATTTGATTTGAGAAGGAAGTGGGAATGGAGTGCTGTGAAAGTTAGCGTAAATAATGCCACAGTGCGCTAATCCATGGGTGGATCTGGAGTAGAGTCATTAGCGGGTGTAGAGATCAGCAATGTTTACACATTAGCAGTGTCTGTTGTGTTTGTGTGTGAGACTGGTCTTGTGCATGTGTATGTGTGTATGTGTGTGTGTGTCTGTGTGTGTGCCTGGTCTGTTGTGTGTGTGTGTGTGTGTGTGTGCGTGCGCACCTGGTCTGTTGTGTGTGTGTGTGTGCCTAGTCTGTTGTGTGTGTGTGTGTGTGTGCCTAGTCTGTTGTGTGTGTGTGTGTCTGTGTGTGTGTGTGTGCGCACCTGGTCTGTTGTGTGTGTGTGTGTGTGTGTGCCTAGTCTGTTGTGTGTGTGTGTGTGTGTGTGTGTGTGCGCGCCTGGTCTGTTGTGTGTTTATTTGGTAATAAAGGTGTGTCTGTGGTTTGACTCCAGTGACAAACAGCAGAGCACGCCCAGGTAAGAGCACACCTTAGTCAAATGAGCGCAGATGGGACGCAGGTGCGTCGCTGTTCTCGTTACAGTCGTGCAGTAAACTCCTCTGTCCTCACACACACACTCTACACACCGTTTCAGGACAGAGAAGGTCAGTATTTCACTACTTTCATTATTTTTCTCTCACAGTGTAGGCGTCCTTTTCCTCCTGTGATGCTACGTTATTAAACTGGATTTCTGAAAAGGTTTCACTGTTCGTTGGAGTCGACTCAAAAATTGTGCACAACGTCATGAAGCCATAAATGTTTAATTGAGAATGTGGTCGAAGTTATTTCTTGTGTACAGGGAACGTTATATGACTCCGTTCCTGACATCTCAATGGTTATAATTTTACACTTTGTTGTGTTGTAGTCTAAACGCTCTGTAATGCAATATTAGTATAGCATTTATGCTAATAAACGTCTATTCCTGTTCACTCCTGTCACTCCATGTTCTAGCGTCTGTGCACGGATATAAAAGTAGGTCTCAGCCAGTTCCCCAAAGTATACACGATATGTGCTTAGAGGTGTCCTAATGTGTTGCCATAGAGACATGTATGATGTACTTGAAATTAAGTACAATAGTCAGAGTTTTGCTTTAGTGTTTCCAGGCCTACATGAGCAAAAACTTCAAAGAGCAATTCTTAATGCTTAAAGAACAGCTTAACAAAGGTTATTTGGTTTCCTTCTTTCTGTAAAGCTGTATAAATCCCTTTTTGTCAGATGTAAGTCACGCTTTGATCTTTGTAACAGGGATTCGTTAAAGTGCTGTGATGGTTTGATAATGGCTGTCTTAGCTTTGTCCTGTTATGCCGAGTGAACTCTACACCACTTTCTGAATCTCACTCTCGCTGTACGACTCGCACTACACTTCAGTCACTTGTGATCGGGTGTTTTGCAGACGTTCACGCTACACAGTGAGGCTCACGCACTACACCATTTTTGCACCTGGAGAGATCCATACTGAAATACACCTGATCCCCAGGTCACCAAAATAAACACTTTGTCAAGAGCAGCTGGCAGTGGTGGTGTTTCTGCACCATCACAAGAAAACATTCAATTCAGTTTTATTTGTATAGCACATGGTCACAACGTAGCTTTACAGAAAGTCCGGATATAGAATTTAAATTTATCTCTAATGAGCGAACCAGAGGTGAGGGTGGTGAGGAAAAACTCCCTGAGATGATATGAGGAAGAAACCTTGAGAGGAACCAGACTCAAAAGGGAACCATCCTCATCTGGGTGACACCGGATAGTGCGATTATAAATCATTCCCTTCTATAACTGTACTATAAAGTCAAGCAGTGCTAAGTGTGTTAATAGGAACTTGAGTATGACCATTGGAGTTTTAATTTTAAGTCTCATGTATCTTTTGTAAGTTATCAACTGTTCAGTGATGGAGACTTGAATGTAAATTGTTCTTAGCTATTGCTATCTTTAGGTTATTCAGAAATGAACATCCACAGCCATCTTTAGGGTGTCAGTGTGGTACCATCCACAGTAAACCCATGATGAGTTCTATCTGAGGGTACTCCTGAGTTACTCCTGAGTTACCAGTGATCCTGATTCCTAATGTCCTCCAGACCTGCCTGATCCATCCTGATGCTCTAGGGATGGATTGTAAAATTAAAAGGGAGATTGTAATGTTTGCACAGAGAAACACCTCTATGAATGAGTCATACTATTCAAGTCATCTCCATGGAGATGGAAAACTATTCCTCTAGATAATAATTCTTCCAATTTTAAGTTTTTTATTTGACTCACCCATGTGTTAGAGGTTTTGCTAGCTGTGTATGATCTTTCTTCTTTAGATTTTAGAACCGATTAGAACCGATTATGTGATTCAGATCCCAGATATTTACATTTATGGCATTTGGCAGACGCCATTATCCAGAGCAACTTACATTTATCTCATTTATACAGCTGAGCAGTTGAGGGTTAAGGGCCTTGCTCAAGGGCCCAGCAGTGGCAGTTTGACAGTGCTGGGGTTTGAACTCATGACCTTCCGATCAGTAGGTCAACGGCTTAACCAATGAGCTACCACTGCCTAATGCTAGCTAACACACATGAAAAGGGAGTGTTAGTTTGGACTGTTTTATTAGATAATATGCTGTGTGCGTGTTCTGTTGTTCTGTTAATTCGTTATTATTCTGTTATACTTTTAGTTTTGTGGTATGAATGATAAACAGTGAAAGTGCAGACAGACTGGAGCAGTGTAGGAAACTGCAGGTATCACAAAATCATCATAATCACTTTATTGGCTGGGGAAACTGAAATATGGATTTGTCTTGGAAGAATTGGACAAAATATACTGATAATATAAACAGCGTAAATAATGCAGAAGCAGTTACAGCAGTGTAAATGCAAACTATACAAAAAATTACGATAAATACGATAAATATAATTTCAAACATGTATGCCAGGATAATTCATGTTTGCACAGATGATATCGTGTCTTGATTGTCTTGATTCCACATTTTCCGTAAGATGTAGCTACGGCATTATAATGAAATCTGCATAAAGAAGGAAAAACTCGCTGTCTGATGAGGAACATGTGTACAGCATGTATATGAAGTCAGACGTTTTTTGAAAGCACATTACTTTCATTCGGATTAAATTGAGGATAAAGTTTTATATTATTTTCATTACACATTTCATTAATTAAAAAAAAAAAGAAACTAATATAGTATTGTACTTTTTTATAGGACATTCTAGATGACACACACACACACACACGCACACAGGCGAGTGGAGGATTATGGGTAGTAGCTGGAGCTTCCATTTATATCTCCAGCGACCCGCTGTAACACAGCTCACATGGCAGTAGTTTTTATAAACTGTCCTTCAGTGTGCTGGGTTTAGACTGAGGCTTTTAACTGCAGCCGTGACTAAAGTGGCAGAATGTAAACAGATCTGCTCTCCTGCCCCACCGTGACTGTCATTCTGCCCCTCCGCACCCTCCGCACCCTCCGCACCCTCCGCACCCTTCACTCGTAATGATGGCCAGCGGACTGGTCACACAGACGGTGTTTAAAGTTTATGTTAATTCAATTAGAGACAATTATAGAAAGTGAATTTTTAAACTTTATTACTCTGTAAACTGTTTAGTTTTGTCTCAATCTAAAATAATAACTAATATAAGATACATAATTTATATATTATATATTATAAGATATATAACTCAGTAGAGACAGATTTTTAACCCTATTAATTCCACCTTATATATGATTATATATGCTTTATTTTTATTTTCTTGTATGTATTCTCTAAGATCTAAAATGTAAGATATTTCACATTTTAGTGAAAGGTTAAAAATCTTGTTACTAAGTTGTTAGCAAAAAAAGAGTCATTTTAAACCTCATACAATATAGTCATATTAAAATACACTTAAAAACAACAATGTAGACATATTAACTAAGGAGTAAATCACTCGATGTCATGCTGTTTTAGAAAAATAATCAATGGCGGAGTAATGAAGTGGAATTACTGTCACCTCCCCAAAGACAGCATGTCCCCAAGTGTTTTATTCCTCTTATACCACAGCAAACGTTTGTCAACATTTAAAATCTTTTGATTTATTAAAGAATGAAATATATTTTTGTCCATATATAGTTACATTTAATGTTGTGAGACATCTGTGAAAGGGGTTAGTTCTTGTTCTCACTTATGTTATAGCAGCTATAAACAGACGTTTTCTCACCAGCCTCTCTTTTTTCTCTATCTTGATGTTAATAAGACAAAAAAGACCACACTCGATGTTGTCGAGAAGCTAGCCGAGGTAAATGGACAGAGAAATTCCTCCTACACTAGCGCAGCATGTCAGCGTAGTGAAAAAGACTAACCTAACACATACACTCTTTATTTAAATGTGGCTTGTTTGAATGCGATTCTCAGTAACATTTCGGAATAGTGCACAAAATTTATCTTCATAGTTAGAGCAATGTTCATAAAATGCATAAAACATCTATAAATTAAGTGACCCCACATGGGGTCATGACCCCTAGTTTGGGAACCCCTGATTTAACCCCACTGTTCACACTGTGAAGCTACGAATCCTGTGGCCTTCCTCAGCTTATTTTCTGGGATCAGGTGTTGGTTATCACTTCACTGCTTTACACTATATTATTATTCTCTTGCTGGTACCAGTTACTGCTGTTTCATATTGTCTTACTTTCTTCCCCTTTTAAGGATATCTGAAATGCATATAAAATTTAATTTGTGTCAACACCTTAAACCTGGACACAGCCCCAGGTGTGGACAAATCAGTAGCCTGGGTAGCTGGAACAAGCAGGCTAAGTATCTGGGCTTGGCTATGGTTGTGAATTCAGTAGGCTTTTATTGTGGTGATTAGCTTCATATCTTTCATATCTTGTCTAATAGTCACAGAAAGAAAAGAAATTCTTTTCACCATTGATTTTTGCAAAACAAATGTAAAAATTTAATATGATTATAATTTGTGGCATAATGCATATTGACACAGTGACTGTAACACTAATTACTCCTGAATCCCACCTGCTTAACTACACATATCAACCAGCACTGTTGTTGGGAATTATTCTTAATAGTCCAATAAATTAGCTTGCACAGATGACAGTATTTTCAGAATCAAGAACACGTGGTAACATGTCTAAGCTGAGCAGAATACAGCATAAAACTGACAAATAACCTCACCGTCACTTTGCAATTAAACACATAAAAATGGAAAAAATAGCTAGTTAACATTCTTTATGTTTGATTGAGGGAAAAAAAAACAAAGTCCAATAGCTAATAGAGCTTATTAAAGCTTGTTAAAAAGCAAGTAGAACTCCATTCCAGTGGCTTAGAGAGAGGTACCTCTGCCCCCAAAGATGCGCCTTGAGTTCCTGAACATAATGCGTAACATCTCTGTATGGCAAACAGGAAGGAAGCTATTGAAGAGAACTAATTCAACATTTGACTTTGTGGGACCTTGACCCATTTGGATCTGTTACAAAATCTAATCAGTTCATCTGCTGGCTACAGTGATAATTCTATATAAATCCTACAAACATTCAACTGTGCGTTTCTAGTGATATTGTGATAACCAGAATCTCGGATGGCTGCATGGACATTTTGAAAACATAATGGTTAAAAGTAAGTTTGTTACAGTAGTTACTTATTTTATCTATTCTTCAGTCTCCTTTGGTTGCGTGTGCTTCATGGAGGCATGCAAATGATGAATTAGTGTTTGTTTGTTATCATTGGTGCATCTGTAGCTTCCAGCAGTAATCAGTTCCAAGCCATAGTCACAGGATAAGTGTTCTGTTCTTACAGTGAATGAAGGTCTTGTTAGATTTTGCTGTTGCAAACCACCAGTAAGAACCGCCCAGATACATTCTCACATTGAGACCTTTCACCATAGTCAGAAAGCAGTGTATGACACAATATTTACAACAAATACCTCTGTATTCAGTCATCTTGTCATTTCTTCTTCTTGGCTTGTACCTATCCAACCACATGTACACCATATGCAGTTCTCTGTGTAGCAGCTTGTGACTGCACTTGAAGCTGTCCTCCAAAGCTGGAGATAGATTTCTAGTGAAATGCTATGAAACTCAGAGGTGTCCGCTACCTTGAATTGCCTTTGTCTTAGCGCTGTTATCCTCATATCTTAAAGCATTGTTCACTAGTTTTCTGTGAACTTCCTGTATTGTTGCTCAGTAAGCTGCACTCACTACTCATGCCCCCCACCTGGTTGGGTTCTCCTGCTGTGTTGTCTGCATAGAGTGTTCCACATCTCCTGTCATTTAGCCAATTAGCAGGCCCATGGCTACATTTTGGTATCACTGTTGAATAGTTTTCTCTTGCCATACTACTCGCTGTTTGCTGTTGAATCTGCTAAGTTAGCAGGATTTTCACTAACATGCATCCCTAGGGCTGAGGTCAGGTTTCCTTTCACACACTCCTCGTTATTTATTTACTTGGGTCAGATATCTCCAATTTTTCATGACACAGAGTGGTTAACCTGCAAGACTGAAGGCTCATACAGCTGGTGTCTAAATGTCATAGCAGCTGAAGACAGGCACCAGTTATATGTACACTGGCTATCTTAAGGCTCGAACATCGCCTGCAAGTTAATGCTGACATGGCATACTCAGTTGTCTGAATCTATCCAAAGTGCCATAGCCTAAACAGCTCACTAGTCACAAAAGGCTGCCTGAGTGAAACTGTATAGTGCTATACAACCCGCAGCTATAAATGCGCTGTTTCACACACTATGGTTGCAGAGGAGCTCTCTGTGCCACAGTGCAAGAATTTTATTGAGAGATTAAAGCACAGATTTCCCAGATAAGCTCCACTGTGATGTATGTTTTACATTCCAATCTGCAGACACTGATCCCTTGCACAAGCCTTAGGCACACCGTTAAACCTGTAGTAGTATTCTTCTCATGGGGCCCTAAAGAGTGACACACCACCAAAGAGTCCCACAGAACGCATCCATGAAAGGCAGGGGCTGGTTGAGATTAGACCCTAGTAAAGCTGTTGCTCTGACACAAGAAGTTGAAATACCAGTCCAGTAAACTGAAAGAAAGAGCCCTTAGTACTGAATGGTGTGCACCTCATTCACTAGATCTGGTGTATTTCTGTGTTAATGGTCTGTGTGGCAGCCATCACAGTGCACCACAGCACCATGGATGGCCCCACTCTGGGGACGCATTAACTTATTATCCCATTTCTGAATGGGGGCAAAGACTTCCATCCACTGCAATTCCTGAGGAGGCCTTTGGGGAATCTTCCCATTGTGCCAGAGTCCCTTAAGGTCACTGCTAGAGATCACTTCATCAAAAAGAGAACTGTATTCTCTGGTTATACGGTTGCCTTGAATGTATTGGTGGCCCGATGGCTTTGTGGTGACCTTGTTGTTGAGCTTGGGATTTCTGCTCAGGGTCATATCAACCAGTTTTTTAGATCAATCTGTTCACCTTGCAGCGTTCTGTTAAGGTGAGCCTGCGAATTATTCCATGTTGTGGAACGTTTGAGCTTCAGATTTGTCTTTATCTAATTAAAGGCTGGCCCACTAAGGGGTGGA